GTACGGTAAAAAAATTAGTCTTTAGAGCAGGTAAGTTATGAAACTACTCACACAAGTAATAATGATAATACTAATAATAATAATACTGGTAAACAATAAATTAATAATAATAATAATAATAAAAATAATAATAAATAATAATAATAATAATAATAACAGTATTAATAATAAAAATAGCAATAAAAACAATAACAATACCAATAATAACAATAAACAATAATAATATTATTAATAATAATATTAATAATTATAATAACTGTAGTATTATAATAGTAATAATAATAATAATAATAATAATAATAATAGTAATAATAATAGTAATACTAATAATAATAATAGTAATTATACCATTAATAATAATAATAATAGCTACATAAAATAAATTTGAAAGGGTACTAATAGTTTTCTAAAGATATTTTGGTAACAATGATGAAAGCCATCAAAGTTATGATATATATAATAATATATTATTATTTTTATTTATTAATAATTTTTATTTACATATAGGCCTACCAATAATACAAACATTGGGTGTCAAAAACAGAAAGCTAATATGGTACAAGTACAACAGTACTACAATACGAGTATATTCGTAAAGTACGGTAAAAAAATTAGTCTTTAGAGCAGGTAAGTTATGAATATATCATATATTTCGTGAATAAAGATTATGATTGATTGATTGACAATTGATAATAAAATATTTAAAATATACAAATATCATGAATTTGCAGGATATGGGTTATTTTTGGGAGATTCTTGCTTGCTTGCTGGAGTGCAGAAGGTTTTCCCGATTTCCGGGAGATGTTAGGGCCGAGTGGTTCCCCCTAAATTCGCTCCTGCTCTAACATGTTAAGGGTGGTGGGAGGACCAGACGTCGACGACCATTGCCCTCCCCACACATGGATCCACCCAGAAAATAATCATTTTGTGAAGCCCAGTCAGCCAAATTCTGCAAGTATTGCCATAACAGGATATTCTAAAGCATTAAATATTGAATACTTCTTCTTCTTTAACTGTAATTTTAGGAAGAAAGTCAAATTACTTTTTAAATTAAGAACATGAGCCAATAATAATTTTGTTTATAATGTTAAAGCAGGTACTTAGATACTATGCCTACTGGTAAAGAATGTGGTAAAAAAGAGATTATACAATACATGCTAAAATGTTGTGATGAATGTAGTCTGTAGACATTCCTTATTCGTCACATTGACTTACTTTTTCTTTTGCATTCTTATTGTATATGGTACTACTTTGTTGTATGGAAAATAAAAGTATATTTGATTTGATTTTAGTGATTAACATGGTCACTTTATAATATAATATATTTTATTGCATTATATTTAGTGAACATACACACGTTTGTATCAGCTGCACTCACTGAAGTGGTACGTTCCACTTACCTACTACTGAATACTCTGCTGCTCCTTTCACCGTACTGTACAAACTTAATTTAAATAATGAATTCTCACACGTGTTATTTACGTAGCGTGACAAGTCCTCATCCAAAATTTTGTAGACTCGTGTTATTGTAAAATTGTTTTTTATGATATTTTAATACACATATATATGAACTCAAAATATGCCAATAACAGCAAGACATTTAAAAGAATGGTGCTACGATATATTTCTTGATGTGCACGCGTCGCGTCTGGTAGGTAAATCGGCACAAACATTTAGTCCTTACTCAATATAGTATATGATCATATACCTTGATTCTTTGAGATTTAGATTATACTCATTGGTCTCCTTTTATACACTCAAATATTCTGAGACAAATTTATATGGACTGATGATATTTAAAGACACACTGCCTCAAAACTAAAAAATTAATTTAAAAAATTTGAATAGTTCAAGATCATAAAGGATCAAATAAGTTATCAAATTCCAAACAGAAACAAATTTAAAAAAAAAAAACATTTTGCTGATTTTACAGACATTTTACTTTAAAAATCCTTAAATTGATTACTAGCAAATTTAAGAGTTCAACATTCCAAACAGAAACAAATATAAAAAAAAAACCCCATTTTGCTGATTTAACAGACATTTTACTTTAAAAATCCTTAAATTGATTGCTAGCAAATTTAAGAGTTTATGCACAAGTTTACAGCAATTAAACTGTTTATTATAATTGAGAGTGAATTTTTTTTATTCAATTTTTAATTGTTAGTTAATAACTTATTAAAATTAGGAAATTCAAATATAGAATAGAATTGTATTTTTAATTTTTTAGCTAATGATAGACAGAACATTTTAAAGTTATTGACAGCCAGTTTGTGTTTCATAAACCAAAACCTAAAATCACTGATACATGAGTGTTACTTCAGTGCGAGTTGCGAGTTACAAAATGCGAGTTGCGAGTTACAAAATGCGAGTTGCGAGTTACAAAATGCGAGTTGCGAGTTACAAAATGCGAGTTGCGAGTTGCAAAATGCGAGTTGCGAGTTACAAAATGCGAGTTGCGAGTTACAAAATGCGAGTTGCGAGTTACAAAATGCGAGTTGCGAGTTACAAAATGCGAGTTGCGAGTTGCAAAATGCGAGTTGGAATGCGAGTAGGAATTCACAGAAGCAAGGTTACTCATAGCAATTTGTTAAATACATACACACACACACATACAAACTGAGGCCTGCATTCATATCAATTGTTTTACAAATTTGGTAGAAGCTATTACAAGGTACTATATATTCTGTCGATTACTGGTACACATTTTTTTTATAAGAACACAGAGGCCGCAATTGCTTAAAAATTAAGAACAAAATAAGAACAAATTGAGGCTGAGGTAAAATTTCAAATGAGGTTTATATTTTTAAAAACCAAAATATTATATCTGTACATTGTGTGCAGTAGGTGTGACTGTAATACCCTCTATAATACAGTACAGTAGGTGTACCTATCTGATGGGGGAAATTGTTTGTGGGGTCGCTTTCATCTACATTCCAGTACAGTACTGCCATACAATTAAATCATTTTTTGTTTAAAAGGTGTGTAAACCAAGAACAAAATAAGAACATTTTGAGCCTGAAATTGGCCAAAAAATAAGAACACCGAGCCTTGGCAAAATTTTATTGTTTTTCTTTTTTAAAAAAAGTGTATATTTTAATTCAGCTGGGTCACAAGAATGTAATGAGTACCATACCAATTGGAGTGACAAAGCAATGAAATTATAAATTTATTATTCATATGGTTATTTATTGAAAATTTATAGTACCTCGCATTTTGTGACTCGCAACTCGCATTTTGTGACTCGCAACTCGCATTTTGTGACTCGCAACTCGCATTTTGTGACTCGCAACTCGCATTTTGTGACTCGCAACTCGCATTTTGTGACTCGCAACTCGCATTTTGTGACTCGCAACTCGCATTTTGTGACTCGCAACTCGCATTTTGTGACTCGCAACTCGCATTTTGTGACTCGCAACTCGCATTTTGTGACTCGCAACTCGCATTTTGTGACTCGCAACTCGCATTTTGTGACTCGCAACTCGCATTTTGTGACTCGCAACTCGCATTTTGTGACTCGCAACTCGCATTTTGTGACTCGCAACTCGCATTTTGTGACTCGCAACTCGCATTTTGTGACTCGCAACTCGCATTTTGTGACTCGCAACTCGCATTTTGTGACTCGCAACTCGCATTTTGTGACTCGCAACTCGCATTTTGTGACTCGCAACTCGCATTTTGTGACTCGCAACTCGCATTTTGTGACTCGCAACTCGCATTTTGTGACTCGCAACTCGCATTTTGTGACTCGCAACTCGCATTTTGTGACTCGCAACTCGCATTTTGTGACTCGCAACTCGCATTTTGTGACTCGCAACTCGCATTTTGTGACTCGCAACTCGCATTTTGTGACTCGCAACTCGCATTTTGTGACTCGCAACTCGCATTTTGTGACTCGCAACTCGCATTTTGTGACTCGCAACTCGCATTTTGTGACTCGCAACTCGCATTTTGTGACTCGCAACTCGCATTTTGTGACTCGCAACTCGCATTTTGTGACTCGCAACTCGCATTTTGTGACTCGCAACTCGCATTTTGTGACTCGCAACTCGCATTTTGTGACTCGCAACTCGCATTTTGTGACTCGCAACTCGCATTTTGTGACTCGCAACTCGCATTTTGTGACTCGCAACTCGCATTTTGTGACTCGCAACTCGCAGAAAAGAAACCCTCCTGATACATAGTGATTATTTTTAGTGATTAGATCAAGTGCAAATTCATTTGTCATGCGGGTTACAGGTGCAGCACTGGTATGCAGCACTGACAATGATGAGTAGCTGCAGTGTTTACAAGTTCTACAGAACTTTGCCTTTATGGATAATTATAGAAAATGACACTATAGACCAAGCTAAATCCATAATGATATTCTACACCTTGTCTAACATCCATGACAATGATTTATCCATCAGGACCTTTGGCTACATTGTAAACCACATTCTTGTCAAATTACTGAAAAATTGTAAAACCCAAGAAAATTGTCCAGAAATTTTCTCCCTGTCCAGTTAGTTTGAAATTCTAAAGCTGTTATTATACTGTACCTGCAATTTTGAGCAACCCATATCTTGCACTCGGTGCTACAGGAATTTACTGTGGAATTTGAAGGATACTGTAAAATAGTTACTGAAATTATACATCAATCTCAATAGGCCTTTTTCACTAATCGGTAGACATCATGAAGTGATGACAAACATTGCGAATCAGCGGTGCGTAACCAACAGAAATAAGATAAGCTTTTGGGCTGATTTTCTGACATCATGTTATTTAAAAAATCATAACTCCATAACGGGGCGTCGTATCCAAAAAATGTTTCCAGCAAAATGTTCTTAAAAGACTAGTCTACACCCTATATGCCTGAAAAAAAATTGAAAAATTTTTTTGACCTCTGAAATCAAGATTGAAAAATAAAAGCCTATGTCAGTAGTACTAAGATAGGCTTTTCTTTTTCAATCTTGATTTCAGAGGTCAAAACAATTTTTCAATTTTTTTTCACTCATATAGTGGTGTAGACTGGTCTTTTAAGAACATTTTCCTGGAAAAATGTTTTGGATACGATGCCCCGTTATGGAGTTATGATTTTTTAAATAACATGATGTCAGAAAATCAGCCCAAAAGCTTATCTTATTTCTGTTGGTTACGCACCGCTGATTCGCAATGTTTGTCATCACTTCATGATGTCTACCGATTCGTGAAAAAGGCCTATCTAATATCTAGGCTGCACCAAGGCCTATTCTATTCGTTTTTGGCAAGCGAACCGTGCCAAAAAAAAAAGGTAATAATAGACTACTAGGCTAGCCGGCCTAACTCCTGTAGTTAGTAATAATTCTACTCGGCCTAGGCCTATACATACATTATCGTCAGCGAATTCATTAATATTTTAGTAATGTATGGCCCTGCTAGTCTTTATCGAAATATTCAACTATAGAATTTAGCTTTCTAGGCCTAGATACAGTACATACATAAATAATTTCAGCTCAGGGGGTGCTCTTGGCCCAAATATCGTCGGCTCGTTCGTTGCAACAACATGGCCGCGGCAGTGGTAGGGAATTTCCCTAAACATGTTGACGTAAGATCCTGAACTTTCTGCGTTCTAAAGTGATGGCGCCAGCGGGGAATTTGCCCTCCCGTTGAACAGGTGTGTACCCGCTGTCGTCCAACGCCACGACTTGGATACCTTGTCATATAGTTTAAAGCAGGCTGGTTTAAAGTGCAGCAAGGCAGTTCAATATTATTGACCTCTCTGTTCCATGTGTTCACCGAGTGCTGTACTGTAATTCACAAATAACCCTCAGTTGGATTAGTAAAGTTGTATCGGGCTGTGGTTATTTGTATTGGGATGATGTTTTTGACTTTTGTAAAGTAATGTTAGATTATGAGTAGCCATGCTTGGAAGCAAGACACGCAACGACGGATAACAAGTAATAGATACAATAAAGCAGTATTACAGGAGAACAACAACTAAAGTTTATTCACAATAACATTTCAATATATACAG